GTGGTCATTAACTGAGAAAACATACAGGGTATGCCCACCCCAATTCTGTTGTGGCATTTGACAGAGGGCGGAATACACACAACCCCAAGTGAAGGGTCATCTTCGGACAGAACTTGGGAAACCACTGTTGTGATATCTGCAAGTGCCCATCTTTGTTGAACCAAAGGCACCTTCTTCATAATAGACTTGTCACAGGATTATGATAACCAATGTCACGTAGATGGGTATGAATCAGGCGATGCATATCCTAGCAACTTGAGCACGATTACAGGTGAGTTTTTCTTCATCCAATTCTCTAGCTCTGCAATGATGATTGTCATCAGATTTCCTATTAACCACTGGACAAATGTTCACGCACACGCCCACAGACATGACACGTGATACATAGGATGTAGATCTTCATTACATAGATATCATTGACATGGTATCTTCGGTGATGTCATTGCTGGGATATCCAACCTTTTTCGACCACCAAAACTGGTGTGTCAGCCATCTTGAAATGAACACTCAACCAATGCAAACGGGTAATAAATCTCCTTGAAACTCGCGAATGCATGCACAGCTACACAATTTCCTAATAGCTAAACTTATGGTACACTAATGAAAAAGTTAACTAAACTGGCTTGGCCTTTCAGCCTGTACTATCTTGTGGAAAAGTGCTAAAGTAAATAATCTACAGGTATTACTCATAATTCGCTAAAGAGCTATGCACCTGGTGACTGATACCATTACCAGTGCGGGGTTCAACTGGCTGGCTGTAATAAACTGCTGTGTGTGTTATGTGGGTACAAATCCATGACCAGGTGCAAAATTGCGTGTAGCCTTAGAAGGAGGTGTACGTGAAAGCCACTCTTATTGGGACTCCGGGGAGCAGTCTATATGCCAGTTCGAGTGTACATACAATTCGTTAACTGATTATGCAATAGCCTGAAGTTAGGATATAAGAAGATAAACTTGCCAAGACCATTAACAACCATTTAAGATGACTCATCTGAGTAAAGTTATTGATGTCACATTCAGGAATGGACGGATTCACAGATAGCGTGTATCCTTGGAGGTTATTATCAGAAAGTATCTATCAGTGAGGTCTGCTGGTTACATCTCCAAACCTACTAATTGCCAGAAGCATGTGATGTTGTTGTTTTTTTGGGAGGATAGATAATAAAATATGTAGGAATGTGAATTACGCCGAATGAAAAGACAAATTTAACAAATACAGAAGCCTTATCATTTCTCTAATTTGAAGCACTTACTGACATAATATAGATCATTTTATAATGACTGCAAGACACTTTGAAAATAAAATAATGTTATTCGGTTATTTTGAGTTCCCATATGAACGAAATACTTTTAGACCGCACAATGTGATAATATACATGTACATAATAAAATTACCCCGGCCTTTTGTTGTTCAATACTGCAGACGTGCTTATTTCATCACGCCCTCAAGCGTCCAACGTAGTTTTTGATATCTACGCTGGTTTAAGAAGAAGTAAACGTCCCAATCAGTGGTGCTGTAGTATTGGAAACTCAGCATTTTTGCCAAGCCATCTAAAGACCAGCTGAATGTACCAAGTATACCATCAAGTGTACAAATCAAATCATAGTAGCACTCATTTGTACCTTTATTATTCACTTACTACTAAACACTGATTTCTTCATTTAGAATAGTATTAAATGGGGGCGCTCTCCTTTGCAATCGTGAATTACATACATTGTATATTTGAACACCGTCTCTCAACACGGTGAGGGACGGTGATTTGAACAATATTTCCATATTTCGTCGTGTTATCAGTTTATGTCTAGAATATATATTTCGGTGATACTAAAAATAGAATAGAATACAAACATGTTCTACATTGTGTTAAATTTGTTTTCAGTATAAATTTGGTTAATTGCTGCACATATATAGATTTACCTTTTCAGTTTTCTCTGTCGTAGCCACCAGTATATAGCGCCACGTAGTGGCAGCAGATTCTCAGTCTGCTTGAAACTTTTAGTTTTGCTGTTTGATACTGCATAATGACAGATATATTATCTGTATTGTCAGAGAAATGATTTCAAATTAAAATCATTTACATGTTGTCACAATCTGATTAAAATCTGATGTAGTGTACGGGCTTTAATTATTTTGGCTATAAACTTATTTTAATTTTATTTTTTATTACTTTTGTTATTAATGCCTTTTTATTTTATTATTTTACTTTGATTTTGATTTTTTTTAATTCCGCCCTACATACATCTGATCCGACGCCTACGTAAGTCCCGTTCAAATCTCGCGTAAGTAACAGCCAATCACAGACCCCTTTTATACAGGCTGTCGGTTGCTTACTTTTCAGTGTAGCGATACTCTACGGGCAATCTTTCTGTACATTATATTTTGCCCACTTGAATAAACCATTAATAGAAAATTGCTAGTATATTTTTATTTACAAAAGAAATTCCACAGTATTTTACAATTGTTGTCATTACATTGAATATTTTGTTCACTTCCAACAAATGTGTACACTTCCAGATACATCTTCGCCAGCCAAAGTTCGTTTATTCAGTCATCGCTTCAATTTTACATCAAACAAAATTGCTAGTATATTTTTATTTACAAAAGAAATTCCACAGTATTTTACAATTGTTGTCATTACATTGAATATTTTGTTCACTTCCAACAAATGTGTACACTTCCAGATACATCTTTGCCAGCCAAAGTTCGTTTATTCAGTCATCGCTTCAATTTTACATCAAACACTGAGCATAATTATCTAGAATGGGAGCACAAAACTAGGTAAATCGTAATGATTAGAACACTGTAAACAGCTATATTAAACAATGCAAACTGATTTTAAATTGTATAACGGTCACTTGCCCACGGTATCGACGCAGAATATTGGAGCAAAAAAATATTTTCTGATCAATTGCGATGTGTTCCAAATAAAAAATATTATAATCCAGTCCAAATCAGGTCAATTACTTTAATAAAGAGTTATTGTATAATGTACAAAATGTTGATACAATTTGATGAATATTTATCGTCAACAGAACATCACCCGTCTTCAGGGCAAGCGACTGGAAAAAGACACCGGTGTTCGGTTGAACCGGTGGAAACGAAGTCGCCACTCCCAGAATAACTACGCAAAATAACGATCTAAACCCGAAACATTTGAGCCACAATATAAACATAGAAAAATGACTTTCGTTGCATTTGACAATGATAAACTTACCGAAAAGCCGTGTTTTTCTCGGTCGCTAACGTCGGTATAATCCGCCATTTTATTTGAGTGTGTTTGCCACCTGACTCTGCTCATGTGCGCTATAGAAGGAAGTCTGTGATTCGCTGACTAAAATCGTCGATAGTGGGTCTCGTTGAAATTTCGTTACATAGGCATCGGATCTAATGTATGTAGGGCGGAATTTAAAAAAATCACAAAATCAAAATCAAAGTAAAATAATAAAATAAAAAGGCATTAATAACAAAAGTAATAAAACATAAAATTAAAATAAGTTTATAGCCAAAATAATTAAAGCCCGTACACTACATCAGATTTTAATCAAATTGTGGAGACAGTAGCAATCGGGCAGTATGCGATCCGTTGTCATGATTGAATTTGATGAAGATTACTTTAAAAAAACTAGCTACATAATACCCCTGGTGCTAAATGACAATATATCGTGTAATTGCAAGATATGTGATACATTATCTTTGGTAGTACAATTTACTTCAGGATGCGGATACATGCATAGAACATGGACAGGAAGATGGTTATAGCCTGTAATGATCATTGGATCCGCAAGGACATTGGTAAACACTATAGTAGGCGTTTATTTACACATAGCAGTATTGTTTTGACAACTAAAAAATCTGTTGAATTTCCAGACTTCTGTAGCTTATGTAAATAACTAATTGCCGACTCAGTGGTGTTGATTATATTTGCTGAGAATCCGTGCATGTGCATGTCTGTTTAAAACATTTCTATAAAGGACTCGCTGGCTGGTAATGTTTAAATTATTGTGTAAGGCTTGAGGTAGAAACTTTGTAAGCCTGGCGCGCTCATTTGTAGGAATACCGTGTTGATTAGGTCAATGATAATGTCAGTAATACCGCCATATACCTCTAAACTGCTGTCATGTATCCTTTGACATTAGTTAGCCACTGATCATTGTGCCATCTGTTGAAATTTCTTGACCTGAAGTCGAGAAACATAATCTGCTAATAAACAAACCTATACCATCCTTCTAACAAGACCCATAATGTCTAAAATTGCCTGGTTTGACTGTCTTCTCGACTAATGGGACTTCCAATTCAATGCAAAAAAGATCATAATTTTGTTTTCGGTAATAAAATATGTAGAACTGCTTCTGCATGCTTTGACTGTCTATTCATTCATTTCAAAGCAGTGCTAAAAGCTTCAACAATTCTGCAAACATTTATCATAATAAGTTATTGCCACTTAACCCCCAGCAAATTATAATCAACTGGTGCCACTAGCAACCCTGGCCAAGTAGCAACCCTGATCAAACTGTATGATTCCCTGAACCGCATCATTCACCCGTGCATACTGGACTGTTTTAGCTCAGATTGAATGTCGTCATTAATTGACAAATGATAAATCAGTCTGAATTCACCGAGTACATCCAAAGATGACACAATGACAGTTATTATTTTTTTTTCAGAAATCTGAAACTTTCTGTCTACAACCCCCTGTTGCACAACAGTTGATCTAAAAATAGGTGAATCATACGTTATAGTATCTTCAAGAAATCCAATGGAAAAACACAGCTAAAGTAATTAATTAGATACTTAGCAAAGAATGGGATCATATCCAGATAACCTTAGTTGTAACTGTTCAATATTTATTTGGGTGGGAATAGACATATTGGGAAAATTCGGGTTGATTGACCTATACCAAAAGCCGCATTTTGCAAAACTGGGTGTAATCCAGAGCACCAGTAACATTTGTGAAGGTAGTTGCACACGGGACGTGGTTTTCCTGCTTGTTCATGGTAACATGAGGAGGAAGCATTGTAAACTGGACTGGAAACTGTTTGGGAAAGACATTGTGAGGACATTGTTTTGCTCTCAAATACAACTTATTAATATGCAACTGACCCCAAGTTAAAGCTACCAGTTGATGCAATTTGCGAATATTTGTGTCATAATACTTCTAATTACTTCTAATCCCATTTTGCAGTCGCTATTTCCCTGTTAGTATCCATGTATTTCATAAGACCGGGT